GACTTGAATACTGGAATCCTAATGTTTCAAAGTTTCGTTATGAAACTTTAAAACTTAAAACTTAAAAAAAAATGCTATTTTAATGCTTTAAATAACATTTTTTTTCTTTTTTTTTAGAGAAATCAGTTCCGACTTGGATACTGAATTCTAAAGTTTCGACTTTAAAACTTTAATTGCATATCTGTGTATGCAAAAATTTATCAGAACGTTTGTTCTGATTTTTTGATTTTACCTTATATTATGGAATTTACCAAATTATTTATATTTTCCATGAATAGATCTGTAAAAGACTCATTTTTACAGAAATAATAGTAAAATTTTTTATAGAATCGATTCTGCTATTTTGACATTATTCCGTTTGATGTTATCATATCAGATAGATCACATAATCTGATAAGTCTGATGAACAACAGATTATCAGATCATGATATTTTTTTTTATAAAATTTAAATAAAAAAAAATTTTTTTATTAATCTTCTAAACACAAAACTAACAGAACGTCTCAGAAGGTAATTAAAGAAGGAGAAGTGGGATTTTTAAATAATAGACATTAGTGCCATTTACTAACATTCCATTTTCTTTTTTTTTTTATTATAGGACTCTCAAGACGCTTGGAAATTGACGAAACGTCTCAGAAGGTAAATAAAGAAGGTAGGGGAGTGTATTATTTTTAAATTATGGATGTTAGTATCATTTACTAACGTTCCATTTTCTTTTTTTTTATTGTAGGAATCTTCAAGACGCTTCAGAACTGACAAAATGTTTCAGAAGATAAATAAATAAGGAGGGGGAGGGAGGGTATTATTTTTAAATTAAAAGCATTAGTAAAAAATTAACTATAAATCATAATTAAAAAAGCCAATCAATTAATAATAAGAAAATTGTTAGCGTTCTACTGCGTTGATTTCTCGATTGGAAAATCAACTATAAATCATAATTAAAAAAGACAAATCAATTAATAATAAGAAAATTGTTAGCGTTCTACTGCATTGATTTCTCGATTGAAAAATCAACTATAATTATAATTAAAAAAGATAAATCAATTAATAATAAGAAAATTGTTAGTGTTCTACTGTGTTGATTTCTCGATTGGAAAATCAACTATAAATCATAATTAAAAAGTCAAATCAATTAATAATAATAAGAAAATCATTAGCGTTCTACTGCGTTAAAATTTGATATACTTTAATGCAGCAAATTATACTTTATCGAAATTTGCAGTAAAATCAAAAATATTCCTTGTATATTTAAATTCTGTAGCGATATTGTTATTATAGCAATACCACTTCGATTAATACAAAATTGTTACTTTTCAACTTTCGCTAAAATTTACAATTTCTTTTGATAAGATTTGTTTGGCATCCGAAAATAATAAATAAAATAAGCTTTTTATTTTAAAAATGAATGATTTTAACGCTCACCAGTGGTGAAATTCACCCAAGGTAAAGTTCACCTATATTACATAATTTATTAAAATTTAAATTGTTTTGTTTTAAAAAAAATAATAATTTTATTAATAAAAATATTTATATAAAATATATAGTTTAAATATAATAATATATTATACAATAATTTATAATTTAGTATTATTATAAAAAATGGATAAATCCTACAAGTATTAAGTAGATTTTATACTGCTAAACAACTTTCAATTAATAAAGGAAGTAAATTTCATTTGACTAAAGTGGTGAAATTACGCTCTAAAGTTAGTAAATAGAAAAAAGAAAAATTTGAAAGTTAGTACCATGATGAAAAACATAGTTTTCTCCATATGTATTATACCTATACCCAAAAGTAGTTTTGATCTTGCTGAACAATTTTCAATTAATTTAGAAAGTCGATTTCATTTGACTAAAGTGGTGAAATTACGTGCTGAAGTTAATAAACAGAAAAAGAAAAATTCAAAAGTTAGTACTGATATGAAAAATGTAGATTTCTCCATATGTATTATACCTACACCCATGAAAATTAATATACAAGTAGTTTCGACCTTTCTGAACAATTTTCAATTAATTTAGAAAGTCGATTTCATTTGACTAAAGTGGTGAAATTACGCGCTGAAGAGTTAATAAACAGAAAAAAATTTTGAAAGTTAGTACCGTTATGAAAAATGTAAAGCATATGGGCTGATTTGTCTACCTTTAATTAAAATATTAATTTTATTACATTTTTATTAT